CGAAGGATCGCTTGAGCCCAGGCGATCAGGCCTGAGTGAGCCAGTTCACACCCTGCACTCCAGCCTGGGTGGCAGACTGAGACCTGTGTCTCAAGAAAAAAATAAAACTTTTTAAGTTCCTGGAAGGGTGAGTTAAAGGCGTATATAAAGAATTAAAGCTTTTTAAAATCACATTCCAAATTATTGGTCAAAAGGGAGCAGTGGGCCCAGGTATTGGTGGCTTCATGCCTGTGAATCCCAGCACTTTGGAGGCCAAGGTGGCGGATCACCTGAGGTCCGGAGTCTGAGGACCAGTCTGGCCAACATGGCAAAACCCTAGCTCTACTGAAAATACAAAATTGCCGGGCGTGGTGGTGGCGCACCGCAATCCAGCTACTCAGGAGCTGAAGCAGGAGACCTCGCTGAACTGGGGAGGCAGAGGTGCAACGTGAGCCAAGTCGGGCCTCTGCCCACTCCAGCCTGGGTGACCAAGAGCAAGAAAGACTCCATCTCAAAAAAAAAAAAAGAATTAAAGCTTTTAGTGGCTCACGCCTGTAATCCCAGCACTTTGGGAGGCTGAGGTGGGCAGATCGCTAAAGCTCAGGAGTCCAAGACCAGCCTGGGCAATGTAGTGAAACCCCATCTCTACAAAAAATATAAAAATTAGCCAGCCATGGTGGCTCACACCTGTAGTCCCAGCTACTCAGGAGGCCGAGGTGGGAGGATCGCTTGAGCCTGGAAGGTTGAGACTGCAATGAGCCCTGATTGTGCCACTGTACTCCAGCCTATACAGCAGAGCAAGACCCTTCCCAAAAACGAAAACAAACTGCTGTTTCACGTGTTTTGTACAGTTGTAGGTATTTAAGGCAAGAAGGGGAGATGTCCACAGTTTCTGTAAACGTTTCAAGTTCCTGGAAGGGGAAGTGTGGGTTAGAGGCTATAATAAGTATTAGGGTTTTTGATAATAAGAAAATATGGGCTAAGCATCGTGGCTGTAATCCCAGCACTTTGGGAGGCCGAGGTGGGTGCATCACTTGAGGTCAGGAGTTCGAGACCAGCCTGGCCAACATGGTGAAACCCCATCTCTACTAAAAATACCAAAAACAATTAGCCAGGTGTGGTGATGGGTGCCTGTAATCCCAGCTACTCAGGAGACTGAGGCAGGAGAATTGCTTGAACCCAGGAGGAGGAGGAGGGTTACAGTGAGCCGAGATCATACCATTGCACTCCAGCCTGGGCAACAAGAGCAAAACTCCACTCAAAAAAAAATAAAATAATAAAAAGTGCATATATGTGTGCATGCAACAGAATACAGAATATTTATTTCCAGAGGAACCCTGGCTGCTCAGGCTCCTCGGTTTGTCCTGTTTTTGTGGGCATGAATTACGCAGCTGCCTATAGATGTCACCAGAGGAAGGCACGTTGGAGGGAATAAAAATCCCAGAATGAGAACCACAGCACCACGGCAGAGGGCCAGAGCATGAGTGAAAGGCCCCGTGTCAAACACAGAAGCGGGTTTTGTTTTAAATCACGACATCTAATGGCTCACACCTGCAATCCCAGCATTTTGGGAGTCTGAGGTGGGAAGAGGGCTTGAGTCCAGAAGTTGGAGACCAGCCTAGGCAACATATGCGAGAACCTGTCTCTACCAGAAATAAAAAAAAACTTGGGCGGTGTGTGCATGGATCCACGGTTCCAGCTACTCGGGAGGCTGAGGCGAAGGAGGATCGCTTGATCCAGGAGTTGAGGCTGCAGCGAGCTCTGATCCCCCCACTGCACTCCAGCCTGGGTAACAGAGTGAGACCTGTTCAAGTTAAAAATAAAATAAATAAAAAATAAATTAAAATAAATAAATAAAATGAAATAGTAAAATAAAATCAACCCACAGAACCCAATCTTCCCCAGGGTAGAGTGGACACCCTCACTGAAACTAATATGACCATCAGCAGCCAAATTAAACGTGGGCCAAGGGGAGAAGCATGAGGAAGATTCGGTTGATGCTCAGGTTTGGATCAGTTTAGTTGAGGTCACTTTTTTCAGATTTTTCTTTTCCAAAGCTGGTTCTGGAGCGGAGTTCAGGAGCACGACTCTTCACAAGAGGCTCTGTGTGGGTCGGCCCTGCTGGGGCGGATTTCATTAACGTCACCAACCTCATTCTCCAAGATGCTGAATATGCAGCGTCGATCAGCGACGCAGATTCGCGGTCCTCTGAAGTCAGCTTTCTGGTGAAAAAGAAACACAAATAAACAA